TAAGGCTTTTTGGAATTCTAAGAGCCTTGATTTGTGTCAAACCCATGGAAAATGGTTTTTATTTTTGATGTTGTCACAGTAGTATATACTTGCTTGTCCTAACTGATGTAAGTAATTATTCTGTACCTGGTACTTTCCAGACCTTTTTATATATTAGTTCATTTAAGTCTTACACCAAGTCTACGTAATAGAAATTTTTACTCTAGCCTTTTTACAAATAAGAAAACTGAAACAGAGAGTATACTATTTTCAGTAGATTATTTATTACAATACGGTATATTTTAAAATTGAAATTATCTACATTAAATATATAATTAGAGATAGACATCTGGTAAATTATTTTTGAAACCTGATTGAGTTGAATCTCCTGCAGTGAGGAGAAGATATAATTGCTTTACATCCTCTCCTTATCCTCAAGTATATGAAGTGGAAAGATGATTAAGGTTCTATAAGGTACATGCATTTTACTCAAGAAGCCTTTTGTAGGAACAAGGAGACGTTTGCTTAATTGTAAATATCTTAAAATTGAGAGAATGAAAAGAAAATGATACATGGATTTGAGAAATTTTTGATCAATAAATTTTAGGTTGAGAGTCAGATTGTGCTTGATCATGCTGGAGTAATTTAGTGACTAATACAATGCCTGGAAAACAGATTTTGCTTCTTACTAAATGTACAACTGGAAGTTTCCATCACAACAACCAGTGAGCAAGGACCAGTTGGATGGGCTGGCTCTCTTTTTAATTTTAAGAGCTGCTATAATTGTCATAATTGATTGTCTGCTTTTACCGTTCCTGCCTCCCATTCTTTTTTTCAGCTTTCCTGAAGTTTTTTTGTCATTCAGACACCGGATGTTGTAATGGTTCAAGTAAGTAGGGGGTCTTGGGCTCTGATACATGGATAAACACCTGGATGAACACCTGGATGTACCACTTAGCTTCCTGGGTGACTTGGAGCAGGTTACTTTACCACTCTGTGTCCTCATTTTCTTATCTGTTAAAAGGAGATTATAGCAGTGGCCACCTTGCAAGGTGGTTGTGAGGATAAAAAAGCTTAGAATTGTGTGTCATGTGTGGTAAGCCCTGTATAATTTTTCGCTATTATTGTTCTTTAATAGGTCTTGTGTGTCTTTGCCTTTTATACTTCTTCTTTTCTTTCCATCTTTCTTCACAGGGCTGACTCTCATTTGATCTTCATGACATCACACATGGTGGTTCTTGGTCTGAGATGTTCTCCCACGTCTTTAGTCTGGGGTGCATTTGCCCTGCACTTCTGCCACCTGGCTGTGGGTTCTCTCATAACTTTGTATTGCTGCTGTCAGTTTACTTGTCCACATGGACTATGAGCATGGGCCATTTCTTTTACTTTCCTTTCATTTCCTTTTCGATATCTCATAAGTATGAGGGAGGTTTTGGGTAAACATATTGAATGGATAAAAGGACCAATTTCCTTCCATTCTATTCTCCCTCCTTTTCTTGCTCCGACTCATTCTTTTCTACTTTCTTTCTTGTTTTCATTTCTTTCTACCAAGCCTTGTCCCCTCCCTTCACTCTCATAACTGGCACTAGATGCATTGTCCTCGTTTTTCTTCACAGTCCCTTGAGGTGGGCATCATGGTTATGTTCATTTTTGCAGAGTGATAGACAACACTCCATCCAGGAGTGTCCTTACAGAGTTGTCTTCCTATGTCGCTGTCTCTGCTCAAATCATTTTGGCTATTTTTCTTTGGATTTCCCTTCTGGCCAGTCTAGGAAACACAATCTTATTTTTATTCATTCTCAGAATAGATGATTTCCAGTCTGAATATCTTGATTCATCATATTTGTCTACAAATAAGCTTGGATCTTCTCAGAAACCCAAATCACCTTCAATGAGCAAATATTTGTCATCATCATGGATATTTAAATGACTCGAACACAGTTACATCCTCTATTCCTAAGAGGCTTGGCAGGAGTCACAGGGGTGGACTGATGGATTGATGCTTGGTTTTGATATCCTTTAAACTTGTGGGGGTGAGCTGGTGGAAGGTGTCATAGTACTTTATAATCCCACCTTGTTTTTATTATGACAGCTTTATTGAAATATAATTTATGTGCCATACAATTCACCCATCTAGTCTGTAAAATTCATTGGTTTTTAGTATATTCACAAAGTTGTTCAGTCAGCATCACTATCTAATTCCAGATCTTTTTTATCACCCCCAAAAGAAACCCAGTAATCTTTAGTAGTCACGCTGTAGTCCCCATTCCCCAATCCTCCCGGGAATCACTAATTTATTTTTTAATCTATGGGTTTTCTTAGGGCATTTCTTATCAATGGACTTATATCAGACCTGGTCTTTTGCGACTGGCTTATTTCACCTGGCATAATATTCATCCATGTTTCGGTGTCTACCAGTGTTTCATTGCTGTGTATGGCAAAGTGATATTTCATTATTCATACCTGTTAGATAGACCACATATTATTTATACATTCATTGGCTGATTGATATATGGGTTGTTTCTACTTTTTGGTTACTATGAATATTTGTGTATTTGTCACCTGATGGATGGATAAATACACTATATATGTCTTTGTAATGGAATAATAATCAGTTATAAAATGACTGAAATACAACATGGATGCACCTTGAAAACATGCTAAAAAGAAACCACTGAATGTGTGATTCCAGTGATATAAAATGTCCAGAACAGGTAAATCCATAGAGAGAGGAAGTAAATTATTGGTTGGATTTGATAGGAAGGGGAGTGGGGACTGACTCTAAAGGGTATCAGGTTTCTTCTTGAGATAATATAAGTGTTCTAAAATATATTGCCAATTGGTTATACAACCTCACAGACATACTGAAAACCACTGCATTTTTCACTTTGCAGAGGTCACTTTCATTTAAAAAAAAAAAAGGATTCAGAATCCCTCATTAAATGCATGCCAGTTACTTACTCTGCATTTGGTATTCTATGAGGCACTGTGGCACACAGATAAGAAAAAGAGTGCTTGTTCCTTGTCCTCTAGGAATTTCTCAGTGGGTGTTCTAAATGGGAAGATGAAGTGGAAACCCGCAGAGTGTAATCAAGATAGGACATCACTCATTACTAGCTTCTGGGGGTAGGCCACACTGGGAAAGATCTCGAGACCTGTGGGCATCAGCTGTGGGAATTCAGAAAGATTTCAAAACGTGGACTACTATGTTTATATAATTAAGACATGATGTTATCCATGCCTTACAATCCTGTGACCTCCCGGCAGGCAGAAGCTATGCCTCTGTCCATCTTGATCCCTATGCTTAGCAATGTGTCTGGTTAACAGGTAGCAGGATATGTTTGGTGAGTGAATGAGTAACTGGTGTTTTAGAAGCCTCCTGGTTTGTCTAGGGGGGTAAACATGCCTTCAGGCTTGTGTTTGCCTGCCCTGAACAGCCTGGGGATTGGCCCTATGGGGAAGGTGTTGCTGAATTCACCAACAGTCTTCAAGCAAGGGTTTCTTTTCTCACAGCTAATAACTGTTTTGTTTCCCAGGACTTTCCCCTGATTTTGGTTAAATGGTGACCTGGATTATATAAGTGGGTACTTGCAGGGTAAGGAAAAATGTCAGGCTTTTCTGCCCTTCTGCCATCAGGATAGATGATAGATCCTTGAGGTCCTGAATGCATGCCTGATGGCGGGCACCTGGAATAGGGTGTGGGCATAGGTAGATGGGATTCACCTGGGCTAAGACTGTGCTTTTAAGGGCGGCGTCACGGGGACTCCAGCAGAAGACGAAAGAGAAGCCGAGAAAGAAGTAGCAGAAGCCGAGAGAGAAGCAGAGAAGGCCGGAGAGCCCAGATAGAGTGAGGATTTGCTGGGGGCTGGGAGGACTGCCAGCCTCCCGGCCCTCCAGCACCCCTGCCTGCCATATGCCTGGTGAACCCCAATAAAAACCTGCAAAAACCCACTGAGGACTCCGACTCCTCCTTTACCTGGTCTGCCTGGGATCAGAAAACCTGCACTGTGTCCAGTCCTGCCCTTTACAGTACTTATGAATGTTGTGCCTTCCTCTCTGGTAACACACCCATGACATAGGGTTCCTGGGTCACTGAGAATTAGGAGGGAAAAAGAGTGGAATAAACCTCACATTTTTTTTTTTTTCTTAAATCTCATTTATCAAGCCTCAACGCTGTAGAGTCTGTGTAGCTTATGGGTCTTTGCTGTAATAAGAAATTGTTTTTCTTTTTTCTTTTCTCTGTGAAGGTACTTTATGTTGATTAAGTTCTTTCTGTTAAATATCCTTTGCTTGCACTGCACTGGACTTTTCTTTGTGTTGATTTTTTGCTTCATTTTTTTTTCATTTCCCATGCTCTTCAGTTACTGGATGCCAGAAGAACCAAGGTTTGTCCACTCTTGCAGCTCGTTTGTTTTGCTCTGCACAGCCTCACCTCCTCCTGTGTTTGAATGTGTCTCTCTGTCTGTGTTTGTTCCCTGTTGCTTGCAGATGCAGTAATCCTGTTTACTAAACCTGTTCACAGCTTTATTTGTAAAAACGAAAGTCCTCGTTTGTGTCTACTTGTAGTGGATGCTATTATTTTCATTTTTAAATGGAAATGCATTGATCATGGAAAAAATGGATAGTAGAATAAAGAACACCTTAGGAAACGGAATACTGAGTCTGGAGCATTGTAGGCTTACAGAAGATGTGTTTGTGAAAGTTTCCCTCTAACCCTCCCCACTTTCCAAATTAAAACTCTGTAGATGTATGATTTCCCTTGTGACTGACACTAATCTACTGTTTGTGTATGTGCACATTTCTCTTCTCCTAAGACATTCAGAAAGCATCATTGAATTAATTCTCCCACTCCATGTTCTGTCCCGTGTTTCTGAAGTCACTTTGGAGGACTTCACGGCGGGCCCTCTGGACCTCATTATTAACATTCCATCTTCATAGTGTGGTAGAAGCAAATATTGTTGGCATTTACATTTACTTTTCCCCCTTCTTTTTCCTCTCCTGCTCTGTCTGTTACATCACAGCACCTGCAGCTGACCATCCAGGCCCTTCAGGATGAGCTGCGAACCCAGAGAGACCTCAACCACCTCCTGCAGCAAGAAAGTGGCAACCGGGGAGCTGAGCACTTCACCATTGAACTGACCGAGGAGAACTTCCGGAGGCTCCAGGCCGAGCACGACAGACAGGCTAAGGAGCTGTTCCTTTTGAGGAAGACCTTGGAAGAAATGGAGCTGAGAATCGAAACACAGAAACAGACCCTCAATGCCCGAGATGAGTCCATTAAAAAGCTTCTTGAGATGTTGCAAAGTAAAGGTTTGCCGTCCAAAAGCCTTGAGGATGACAATGAACGGACGCGGCGGATGGCAGAGGCTGAATCTCAGGTCAGCCACTTGGAAGTGATCTTAGACCAGAAAGAGAAGGAAAACATACATCTCAGAGAGGTAAGGACATTCACTCTAGTCTACCAAACTGTATTTTAAAAGTTAAGATATGTTATCAAGTTACTTTCACAGCTTGGAAGTGATCTACGGTTACAACAAAATTCCCTTTGTCATCTGCTTTATAGTCTTTCTGTCTTCTTTGAACTGGAATTTTGCATTAGTTTTTTTCTCTGTCAGCACACATGTTCCATTCACATTGCACATGTTTTCAGGACCCAAGCTTGCGTAGCACACGTCAGCTCTGAGGTGGTTTATAATTACTTGCCCATAGATGGCCATGGTGTCATGGTCTTTTAAGTTTTAGTTGTTTGTCAATTAAACAAATTGACTAGGTGACTAGCAAAATAATGAGCCTAAATATTTTGTTAACTGAATTAGGGGAGGAATTTGCAGAAAGTAAAGCATATGGACATTTCTGGAAAGAATAGTTAAATGTCAAATAGTCAACAGTTTCAACATTTATTTTCAGTTTAAGATAATCTTTGTGTGCATCTACATTGGTCTAGGACAGAGTATTCTGGATTTTCTGAGGGTGCATTTTGTACTTAATGAGTGGAAACCATTTGAAGTTCTTAGCGGTGGTCTCTGTCTGCCACCACCATTGAATGTTGGATGCTCAGGTATCTGAGAATATGTGCTTGGATAGAACTTTGAAAAAATGTGGATGATAGCCAAGGTTCCTTGCTACTACAGCGGATATGGATCTCAAAAATACCGTGTAGGCAAAATATTGTGGGAGACATAGATCTCACAGAAAATAGGAAGCAATAAAATGGCATTAATATTCTATAGTTATAATATTCTATAGCTATAAATAACAATTCTGAAAGATACTTGCTTCCAGACCAAACTATATTTCTTGGCATTAAATACCTGTTTTGATGCACAGCACTTCCTGTGAGTCACTTGTTTGGTTGTTCAGAAAACATGACTTCCATGTCAGGGCTCACTAATGTAGATGCTCCCAAGAGTTTTCTCTGATGTGGATTGCTTTTTGCTTAGAACTCTTGAAAAGATTTTTGTGTGTCTTCAGACTGAATGTCCTCCCTGCTTATTCTCCCTTGTTTTATTTCCATGAGACCTCAGCAACAAGCTTGGGAACCATATGGCTTGGTTCCATATTGAGATGCCAAAGCAATGTTTTGTTGGGCCCGGTCTTTTAATCCATATTCCAGTCAATTAAATGTGGTGGGGAGACTTCTAAGATGGCCTCCAATGATCCCTACTCATGGAATTTATACCGTTTTGTTATGCCCTCCCCTTGAGTAGAAGCTGAACCTTAGTGACTTGCTTCCCCAGGTAATGGGCTACCAATGTCACTTCCATGATATGGTTACATAAGACTGTTACTTCCATCTTGTTAGCAGACTCTATTGTTTTTTCAACTTGCATGCTTTGATGAAGCAAACTGCCATGTGGAGAGGCTCATGCGTAGAGGCCCGAGGACAGCCTCCAGCCAACACTCAGTAAGGAATGAGACCCTCACTCAAACAGACACATACAACAGAAAACTGCCAACAACCACTTAGCAATCTTAGAAGTGGATCCTTTCCTAGTCAGACCTTCAGAGGGGATGACAAGCTCTGGACTGGCACCACCTCAATTGGAGCTTTTTGAGGGGCTTTGAAATGGAGGACTCAACTAACCTGTGCCTGAATTCCAGATCCAAAGAAACGATGAGATAATAAATGTGTGTTATTTAAGCTGCTAAATTTTAGGGCAATTTGTTACATAGCAATTGATAGCTAATACAGTGGGGTGGAAACTAATTTCTTCCTCCCTTAGTCCATGGACTTTCCATCTGCTTTGCAAAAGAGAAGTAATAATTACTGACATGGTATCACTTGGATGTATAGTGACTGAAAATTTGTATCTTAAAACTGTGATTAGTAGATTTCTATAGTTGAAAAAAGCTCCTGTTTTATTTTGGGTGCCAGGGATCATGTTGCATGTTCAGCAAGGCTGTGGTGCCAGAGGAACCTCCATCTGCAGCATTTACTTTCTCCCTTTGTTGAGGTCTTGTGGTCCATTTGGAATCATTCTTCTACTATTAGACTCTTCTCACTGGTTGCACTTAGTAGATGGTGCCTTGATTCTATTGTGTGGTCACCTCCATTTAAGTGGATTGAAACGTAATTCACTTATTGTTTCATGAGACTGGTTGGTCCTCACAATGGTCTGGCTTGGATATAGATTATATTTAGAACTTTAAACATCAGTCTAATTGCTCACAGACTTGGTACAGAAAATGCAGTTCAACACATCCAACCAGTTTCTCTCAACATCAGATCAGTGTTGGTGGGCAGCCCTTATCTTGCCTCAGTTAAAAGGGAGAATATAGAAAAGGCATCTCTATGTAAGATAACCCCCTTTAAAACCAGAACTCAGCAATGAAGGTATAGAAGCCTGAAAGAACCCTTCCCAGGAGAAGGATTGTGTTGACTTGTGACAGCCGTTTATTACATTTTTTAGGAATTTTGTGATCCTGCTTTCAAACTATTTATAGCTTGAAATTGGTTGTGGGTATAAACCTTGGAAATCAGCAAATACTAGTCTTCCTTTCTCCCTGCATCCCTGAAAGCCTGTCATCACACCTCTTAATAAATGCCATTAAATGTTTATCCACAACAAGATGCAGTGAGGAATCAGAAAGATAAATAGTGCAAAATTATGAGTGCATAACTGCTCATTATTTATCAGAAAACTTCAAAACAGCATTGGGATAGATGCTTACTTGCTAGGCACTGTAAAAAGTGCTTTCCATAGATACACATTTAATTTTCACTGCCACCTTTTTCATTCATTCATTCATTTTGTCAATAGTTAAGGATTTGTTTTGGGATAGGTCAAAGGTAACTAATGTGGTTTGATTTCATGGTGCTTGCCACCATTGGGGTGAGACAGACAACAATAATAATAATTACATAGAGAAGTGTCACGAAGAGAATTAAATACTAGTGGGACTTGGGTGGGCCCAGATTCATGTTAGGTGGTCAGGGAAGGCCTCTTGGAGGGGTTACATTGTGAACTGAGAACTTAACAAAAAGAATCAGCTATGAGAGTCTCTCAGAAGACCCTTCTAGTCAGATGGCAAGACCCAGGTCTAGGAGGTAGGTGCTATTACTTATTACCTGGGGAAGGGATTCTCAGAATCTTTACTATGCAAGTATTTAAAGAAGAACATTTTCAAGAAGAGAACTAGGGGGGACTTGCTTTTCTCTTGTTGTACTAGTGTTCTTTGTGAAACACTTAGGAAAAATATTATGGTAGATAAAATAATTTTAATTTGGGACTTACAAAATATGTAATAGTATAGAAATGGTTGTTTTCCATGTTCAAATAACTGGTTAATTTCCTTCATTACTTATTCTAGGAGGCCAGGTTTGTTGTAAGCTGCCTCCAGTCTCCACTGCATTTTAGAATATTCTTCTGTCTTTTTCTTTTTTTAATGTTAGTGGAAAAATGTGGCCCACTGCTTTCATTGTAAATCAGTAAGAATAACCCAGCTTGAATAAGGAAGTTGCCTGATCTCTGTTAATGTAAATGAATTGAAAACAGTATTTAAAATATATTTGAGGCTTTACTTTTAGAATAGACCTGATTTTCATTTTATTCCATTTTTCATTTTGCAACCTCATTTGACCAGGTTGGGGCTAGAGGGTATAATGCTGAGGGATGGAGTGCTAGTGGTTTTATGAGTCATTCTCAGGTAGAGGTGTCAGATCGCCTATTCCATCTCCTGAAATACTGGCCCTGGTTAGCCTATTGTTTCAGGACATTGCAACTTGGCAGGAGTTGCACACAGGGAAGTCAGGCTGCTTCAGTGTCTGTTGTCTTTATGTGGTCTAGAAAAGACTAAGGGCGAAACCACTCTTTTTTTGCCAGGCAGGAAACAACAACAAAAGATTGCGATCTCAATTTATTTGGAAGACCAAAACCATTACCCAAGAGCTGCAATTGATGTGCTAATGTGAGCTAAAAACTTGGCTGAAACTCAGCATTACTCACTAGTGTCCTCTGATGCTTTTGGATACCAGTTGATTCGATAAGACATTGTCTGATGTGGTAATAGTTTACCTTGTTCTCTAGCTTTTTCTGCAGAGAACGTCTTGTTCCACGTACAGGTTTTAGTAATCAAGTATCCAAAGTACTACTGATATCATTAAAGAAAAAATGGGTTTCTATACTAGGATTCTCATTATTCATTCTCTTTAATATTTTCTTGGCTGGTCCTTAAAAGAAAAACAGGAGTCTTAGGATTCATAGCACTGTAAGTATTAGAATTCTTGTCTGGCTTAATTATTAATGTGACAAAAGGAATTTAGAGAGCAACCTGATCAAAAGTTCAAGGAAGGATGGGCCTCCCCGGTGGCGCAGCTGTTGAGCGCTGGATTGTGAAGCTGCCCGCAGCCTCTGCAGCACCGGTTCGGTCCTCGGCTGCTCCCCGGCCACTGGAGGAGGGTCCCACATAGCGCGCAGACCTCTCCTGCCGCCCGCTGCTCCCCTCAGCAGTGTGCTTCGGTCCTTCTGCCTGCTCTGCTCCCCGCTCTGGCTCTGGTGAATTCTCTCACCCTCCCGCGCTTCTCACTGTACCCAGTGCATGTATAAACAAAAACAAACAAACAAACAAATAAATAAAAAACATGCCTCTATTAAAAAAAAAAAAGTTCAATCAAGGAATATTTATTGTGAAGGAGAGAGGCTGCAGTTGCCCTGAGTCACATATGCTCAGCCTGAGTTGGTGGGGGTCCTGGTTTTATGGGGTTGGTTACCAAGATAGGGTAGAGAGGAAGCAGGATATTGGCTGATCATGGTTTTGTGGTTTTCAAAACAAAGAAGGACCAGGTTAACTCAATAACAGGAAGGTAAGGTAATAAACAAGGACCGGGTTTCAGGGGTTCTGTAACATAAAATGTTCGAAGGGAAGGGATGTATGTTGTTGCTCTCCTATGCTTATACCCTTGGGCAACTTGTCTTCCTTTGGTAGCAGGGGCAGAAGA